ACCCCGACCACAGGTGCAGTTTGCTCCGCAGAATCTAATGCCTGTGCTGATGTAACAGGCATCATATCAGAAATTGAAAGGGAAAAAACCCAAATCTTTATTTTCACTGTCTTCTAACTGTAATGTAGAAGACAGTTCCTTCTGCTACGAATGCCAGTAACAAATCACAGTGGTGGCAGCAGTACCTGTGTCTCTGTTGCCAGTAGGAATTGTTTTTACAGTTTTAGCCAATATTCACAGTAGTGTTTATGCTCATTATGGCATTAGTGGACCTGCGACTACCCTTATTTCCTGTGTAAAGAGCCACATACAGCGCTATAACCAAATGTGATCACCTTTTCTGTGTTTTATCAGGTTTGCTTTAGAGTTTTAGCGGCAGCATTGAACAATGTTCTGAGAAGGGGTCCAAGGCACATGAAAGGTCGTAATCGCTTAGACTAGATGAAATTCTAATGGCCTAAGTTCTGGTTCTGTGGCAGAGTTGCCCTGTGTGGATGTTGCTACCCCAATCTGTGCCTGAGGTTAGCCCTAAGGGCACCTGCCTGCATCTAATGGGGAATCTTGATCTGTGTTAATAGTAACACAGGCAGCACCAGTCACCAAAGTGTCCCCTTCCTGAAACAGATGACATATAAAAGCTCTGGACACTATAGAGTGCTGTGTCCATGTTCCCCTAGGTTGGCAACTTCACCCCGTCTCTCCCTCCCCAGCCAGCTCCTGAGCTCCCACCTGCCCTGCCCCTCTCATGGCTTACATCAGCTCCAGATGGCAACCCATTGGTCAGATGCTGTTGGTCACTGTAGATGGGACAGAGCTGAAGAGCCAGCATCCATTCCTGAAAGACCAGAGTCCAACTGTTTGGCAACTGTAGGAAGGTTAAAGGAGGGGTGAGGTCACCTGAGTTCATACTCTCCCATTCCAGAACCTTGTCTGCTAATCCAGGATGGTTTGAGCACCCCCCTTGCCCAGCTATCACTTTAGGCTCAGTGGATTAAGGAAGATGACTAAATCTAGGAGGGGGGATTCTAAAATTTCTGTAAGCCACCAAGAGGACCCTGGAGCGGCTGGGGCTGGGAGGAGCTCCTGCCAATAGCATAGGCCTGCCCTGGGGTGTGGCTTTTCATCCACCTGTCAGAGGGTTTATGCCTGTAGTCCCCAACCTCACGCTGCAGACCCATAGCAGCCCTGGCCTGTTAGGAATCAGGCAGCCTCAGCAGGTGAGCCATGGGTGAGTGAGCAGAGCTTCATCACTATTTACAGCCACTCCCCATGCCTCACATCACCACCCTAGCTCCTCCTCCTGTCTGGTCTATTCTACCTTGTTTGACCTACAGCTAAGAACATTCCTGGGGTCTCTTTGTGGCTGCATTAGGGCTTACGGCACTATAGGAAGATCTGTTTCGTGACCAGTTATTAGTCACAATGCTTAACTTTTTCAGAGGATACAGATTATAGAATTGATAACAACAAACGCTATCAGAACAGACTTACTACTTTTAGTCCTTTGTACATACAAATTTATACAAAAGCAACATACAACTATGTGTATGTGAACTTTCCTGGAATAAATGAAGTAGGTTTAATATAAAATCTTATTTGTGAGCACAGGTAAATTACGATAAAAACCTAAACGCTGGCTACCACTAGATGGAAGGGAACTAGGATTCTCTTTAAATATCCAGGGTGAAGAATACTCCTGTGTAGGAGTCAGCAATCCTAGTTAAAACAAACAAAATAACCCTGGCAAGAGAGGAATAAAGAGAATATTAATGAACATGTTGGTTAATTGCCTTACAGTTGCTCTCCTGAGTTTCTGTTCCTCTCTTCCGCAGGTGACCCCTACAGCATACACTTCAGGGAGCTTTCCCAGAGGATTCTTCTGGTCTGGGACGACCTTTGTAGGTGTTACCTCCACTGGTCCTCAAGCAGAGAGAGGGTATGACCACATGTTTGTGTGCCGTGGAGAGTAATTGGAGAATAATTGGAGAATTGGCGCTCCCTTACCATTTCTGGTCTGTATTTTTTTTTTTATTAAATCATAGCTGTGTACATTAATGCAATCATGGGGTACAATGTGCTGGTTTTATAGACAATGTGAAATATTTTTATCAAACTGGTTAACACAGCCTTCATGGCATTTTCTCAGTTATTGTGTTAAGACATTTATATTCTACACTTAGTAAATTTCACATGTACCCCTGTAAGATGCACCGTAGATGTGGTCCCACCAATTACCCTCCCTCCATCCATCCTTCGCCCTCCCCCCCTCCTTTTCCCCTTTCTTTTTCTTCTTGGGCTATAATTGGGTTATAGCTTTCATGTGAAAGCTATGAAATTGGTTTCCTAGTAGGGCTGAGTACATTGGATACTTTTTCTTCCATTCTTGAGATACTTTGCTAAGAAGAGTATGTTCCAGCTCCATCCATGTAAACATGAAAGAGGTAAAGTCTCCATTTTTTCTTTAAGGCTGCATAATATTCCATGGTGTACATATACCACAGTTTATTAATCCATTAATGGGTTGATGGGCACTTGGACTTCTACCATGACTTAGCAATTATGAATTGGGCTGCAATAAACATCCTGGTACAAATATCTTTGTTATAATGTGATTTTTGGTCTTCTGGATATATACCAGTAGAGGAATTGCAGTAGAGGATATATACTAGTAGAGGAATTGCAGGATCAAATGTGGTCTGTGTTTTTAAAATGAGAGTTGTCATACATAGGGAAAATGGTAAACTGTGGCTAAATGTACCTTTATTTACAAAATATTCATTACAAAGTTTTACAAAATAGTCTCTACATGTTGGCCACCATTTTGTCAGATTTTGTAAATAAAGCTATATTCAGCTATAATTTCCCTATAAATGGTGACTTTAGGGATTTCAATCACTGAGGCAGAAAGAATTCAAGACCCACTCTTCTTGGGACGGTTTCTAACCTAAAGCCACCATGCCAAAGGTTATGTCATAAAGGATGGTTGCTAACTGGCTCCTCCCAGTTCTCCCCCAAGTAACCCTCTTGTCTCTGAATGCCTCATGTCCTCATGAGCTGATAAGCCCACTAATTAACCCGCAGAGACCCCAAGCAGCAGGGTATTCTACCACCAGCAGGGTGGTGAATGGAACACAAATCAATCAGAGCACGAGTTATGACGCTTGGAGGAGTTAAAATAAGCCCACACAATGGGACAGTCTGATGTTCCCAGCAACCCCTGGATTATAGGTCCTCCCAAGGGGAGTCATGAAAAGCTCCCCCACATCTGTGTAGGATGCCCCCCCTTCAATGATGAGTTGCCTGGTGAAAGTGGGTAAGGAAAGAAGTTCCTGGTCTAAAGAACTTTGAATATAGATTTTTAAAAATAAAAAATGAAGCTGTAAATGGCAGAAGAAAAGAATAAAAGCATGAACAGAAGGCAGCTGCTTAGGAATCAACTCAGGCTGAGAAAGGCAGCTGCTTAGGAATCAACTCAGGCTGAGAAAGGCAGCTGCTTAGGAATCAACTCAGGCTGAGAAAGGCAGCTTTCTAAATGCATTACGGGAGAACACATTTACTGAGAACCCTTACAATCGCAAATTGGATTTATCCGTTGAAAATAATGGGCCAGGGCCTGGTGCAGTGGCTCACAACTGTACTCCTAGTACTCTGGGAGGCCGAGGCAGGTGGATTGCCTGAGTTCAAGACCAGCCTGAGTCTGAGTGAGACTTTGTCTCTAAAAATAGCCAGGCATTGTGCTGCTTGGGAGACTGAGACAAGAGAATCTCTTGAGCCCAAGAGTTTGAGGTTGCTGTGAGCTGTGATGCCACAGCACTCTACTGAAGGTGACAAGTGAGACTCTGTCTCAAAAAAAAAAAAAAAGGAAAAGAAAATAATGGGCCAGGCATGGTGGTGGCTCCTGCCTATAATTCCAGCACTTTGAGAGGAGAAGATAGGAGGATCACGTACGGCCAGGAGTTCAAGACCATCTAAGCAACATAGTGATGAAACCCCTCTCTTTACAAAATTAAAATAAATTATTAAAAAGAAAAAAATAGTTAATTGTATGTCAGGAGAGGTGTACTCACAAATAAGGGGCAGGGACAGGGAGAGACACTTCAGAATTGCCAAGTAGAATTCTCGGGACAGACAGCCTTTGAGTGGAGAGGTCTTGCAGGGTCACCGCAGAGGACAGCGCACGAGACGCAGGAAAGATCCTGCAGGATGTGCCTGGGGACAGGCAAGACATTTATGGTGACTATTTTACTTACATTGTTTAGAGGACAATGACTTCTTGTTTATCACTAAATCCTTGGTTTTAGCTTTTATATAATTTTATAGTTTTGCAGAAAAAAATGGAAACAAAGAAGGGTCAAGAACTCCCGGGAGGGGAGAACGGTCCATAGAACATTCTCAACTATGAATTGAGGGTTGGGCAAAAGGGAAAACATTTGCCAAACACCTGACCTTTAAGAGCTACTTTTCCTAGCCCCGTGGGCTTTACTTAGAAAGCTCAATGGCCACTGAGATTCATTCATCGGTGTAAGAGACTAGCATAAACCCATTTGTTTTAGGCAAGAAATATAAACTTCACTGGCACTGAAAAATTGCTTTGGATATACAGTGCACTTTGTTCCATGAGATCTTACCACTCTCCAACAGTGAGACCACATAGTCCTCTGCGTGTGTGTGTGTGTGTGTGTGTGTGTGTGACATTTAAAAAGCTAGAGTTAGCTAGGCATGGTGGGGGGTATCAGCAAGTCCCAGCTCCTCGGGAGGCTGAGATGGGAGGATGGCTGGAGTCTGGGAGTTTGAGGCTGCTTGTGCCATTGCACTCCAGGCTGGGAGATAGAACAAGACCTGTCTCTAAAAAGAAGAAACAACAACAATGACAAACACCTCTGGCTGCTTTCACAATTTTCTAAGAAACTGGTGTCAGGCCACAACCCCAAATGCCTTACATGACGAGTTGCCTTTAGAGAGCACAGAGTTTCATCGGCACTGAGGGTTTGCTGGTTGGTTTTTCTAGATACATGTTTATTTTCATTTCAAAGACAAAGTAGAAAATTCCATGGTGGAAAATGTTACCTTTTAGTTCACACTCTTTTAATCCCTTAGTCCTCATAAAATAAACATTCTAAAGTGTAAGCGGTAGAAATAATGTAAACTCTGCAGCAACAGAAAATAAATTAGTTTCTTTCAGACTTGGTGGAGGTCTTTTTGCTGAACGCCATACTCTGCAGCAAACCATCAACTTGACGATGCAAGAAGAAATCTCTGGCCTATTTATCCTTTTCTCCAACCTTGCATAAGAGACAGATTTCAAATTCACTTTCTTCTCCAAATACAGCAAAAAGACAAGTAGTAGTTTGTGTTTCAGGAGCCTGAAAAATAGAAGAAAAAAATGTTTCAGTGGCTGAAGGAGTTTTCTCCTTTGGTGTGAAACTGTTCATATGTTATAGCACTAAAGTTTGAGGCCAAAAGGAAACTCAAGAGCAAAGAAGGGATTCTATTCACAAGGTAAAGGCTGGCAGGAATTGCTGTTTGGAAGACTTTACTTATGGGAGGTGGAGAATTAGATTCTGTACCATCTGTAACCCAGAGTCCGCACAGATAATGCCTCCAGCATCCTGAACTTCCCGAGATTGACTATTAGGGGACAATGGCAGAATTTCCAGAACTTCTACATTTGAGATCTATAGTCTGTAGGATCCTGTGAAATGAGGACATTTAGGATTTGAGATAAGGAATCCTGTCACCTTGGATTTTGGTCTCTCTTTTATAGAATAGGCACAGAAAGCAAGGTTTAAAAAACACACTTAGGACAATATGGAAATTAGGGGTCCTGGAGCTTCATATTATTAAAGCTTTGCTGTTTTCTCTCAAAGAATATTAAGATTCCTTGAGACTCTGTCTCCCCCCCTCCAAAAAAAATAATAATAAATAGAATATTAAGATTCCTTGCTGTTCTTGAATCTTACAATCTTTTCAAAACAGAAGAAATCAAACTGCTTTTAACAACAACAACAACAAACAAACAGAACACCTAGGTCTCAGGAAAAAAGTATATTCACCACTCTAGGAAAAATGCAAATGCAAGTAGGTTGCCTTTCATCTGAAATTATACAGGAGAGTTCAAACTCAGCTGAACTCATCAGCTGGCCTCCCACAGATAACCAGGGTCTGGAGCCAGAGAGGATGCTCGATTAGTTAAAAAACAGAAGACGGTGATCAAGAGGGGACACAGAGCTTGGAATACTCCCTCAACATCTGACTGAAGTCAGGGGAGTAAACAGAAAACAGAAGTATTACAAGTATCATAAACATTAACCAAAAGAAAATACTTCAGATGTCAGGAAGGGAGGTTTGCTTGGTGCATTCAAACACGGCCAGCCTCACTCTAGTGGCTCTGGTGACCGTAGATAAGGGTCAGTGACTCCTGTGATAGGATGGGGTGCCGGGGGACAGGCGGGTGGGCTTGGGGGACCGAAGATGACCCTTGGCTTAGCAAGAGAAGGCTGTCATGCTCCAGAGGTCGGTGGTGGGAGACCAGCTGATGAGGCACACAACCGATGTATCCTATAGTTTTGTGTTTAAAGGGGCTTAGAGTCTGGGGTCCCACATTTTAAGGAAAACCAAAGGGGTTAGCCCAAATAAAGACTGACCATAGATGAAGAAAATCTGAGATGTAATAGCTAAGGTAGGAATGTCAATAAAATTCTGCTGTTTATTATTTATTTGATGGACAAAAACAATTTCAGAAGTTGATTCAGCGGGAAAGTATTTTGGGAGATACAATATAGGAAACATTCTACTTTGGTATGGGAGTAGAATCAAAACAAAAAGTTTCTTTTAAGGGGAATTAAGAATTTCACAACTGTTACCTAAACCTCAAAACCTTCACTTTCAGTTACTAGGGGAGGTTTGATTATCCCTGTCTTTTAGATACCAGTGGGGATTATTTGAGGAGCTGGGGCTTCTACCCTTCTTGGTCACTGCCAGGAAACAGGAGGGATGAGGGCACAAGGTCCTCAGAGATGGTTCAGGGTGATGAACTGACACTGCTTTCCTTGGGGCACAACAGTGACAAACAATTTTAGAGCTGATCTGTGAAAAGAAGTTTCCAGACCAAAGTCACAGAGCCCAGGTGCTCTCCCGGAGCACCTTGCAAGCCTGTGGCTTGGAACCTGGGAGTGAACAAGCCCGTCCACAGAAGGGTCAGCATGCAGCGACATCCTCAAGATGAATTTGTGATTATCAAGCATCATTAAAAAACTCTGCCCTAACAGGAGTTTAGGAAAGAAATGGTCTAGTATTATACTTCTGTGTGTGTCATTCAAGAAAAGCAATTTTGGCAAGGTGTGGTGGCTCACGCCTGTAATCCTAGGCCTCTGGGAGGCCAACGTGGGAAGATCCCTTGACTTTGAGACCAGCCTGAGCAAAAGCGAGATCCCTGTCTCTACTAAAAATAGAAAAACTACCTGGGTATTGTGGTGGGCACCTGTAGTCCCAGCTACTGAGGAGGCTGAGGCAGGAGGATTGCTTGAGCCCAGGAGTTTGAGATTGCTGTGAGCTATGATGCCACTGCACTCTACCCAGGGAGACAGAGTAAGAACTAACTCTGTCTCAAAAATAAATACAAAGAAAAAAGAAAAGCAATTCTTTGGTCAATAAACATTTCTAGCAAGAGCACCGCGAATAGCCAGCCTGGTGGCTCATGCATGTAATTCCAGCACTCTGGGAGGCCAACACAGGCAGATCACTTAAGCTCAGGAGTTAAGAGACCAGCCTGAGCAAGAGTGAGCCCTGTCTCCAAAAATAGCTAGGTGTTGTGGCAGACGCCTGAAGTCCCAGCTACTTGGGAGGCTGAAGCAAGAGGATTGCTTGAGCCCAAGAGTTTAAGGTTGCTGTGAGCTGTGATGCCACAATATTGCACACTAGGGTGAATGAGTGGACTCTGTCTCAAAAAGAAGCAACCAGAAGATTGGGGGGGGGGAGGGAGTCAACTCCCCAAATCCAGTTATTTTCAAACAAAAGACTCAACAGCAAGATCAATTTCACTGGACAAACAACTTATTTTAATTAGTTCTATTTAGTGACATCCAGAAGAATGAATCACGAACCTAACAATAGTGAAAGCGCCAGCAGGAAGCCAGAACTCACATTCTGGTGATTTGGGGGCATCTCACATTCACATTCAGTATCACACAGCTTCCTAGAGGGGGAGGGAGGCAAGAAAGGCGAGGGAGGGAAGGAAGAAGAGAAAGTCCTCAACGGATGGAGATCTTCCCACGGGGACCACAAACCCACAGGTTCCGTGAGGAGTAATGGACGTGCTGCCCGCAGCCGGGGGTGCAGAACCTTCCACACGTCTGCTCCCTGTGTGTGTGAAGGAAGCTGACTAGACCTCTCCTTTCAGATGCCTGGATTTGTTCAGGAAGCTGACTTTTGCCCAAAACTTAACTTTTTTAGTTTATGCATTTGTAATAGGCACAGACCTTTGACCATGAGTAGAGGGTCCCTGATCACGGTCTGTGAGAGGCATAGGGAACAGAAAGAACATTTGCTGGGTCATCACACTGACGCGTCACCAAGAAGGAATGCTTGCTTTATACTGTGGTTTCGTCTTAGGACACTGGATCCGTTTTGATTGTTTAAACAGGGTCAAATGATGGGCTCTGAACCACTGCCCACCAAGCTTAGAATAGTATTTAGCAATTTACCAGGAAGAAAGAAACCTTGGACAAAGGAGGTGGAGAACACCATTCAGAAAATTAAGAGCCAGCTCTATTACATCTGGACTAAAAAGAATTTTGACAAAGCTTTTAATGCCCAAATTACTACCTTAGTTATTTAAAAAAAAAAAAATCACCCTGGGGCGGTGCCTGTAGTCAAAGGAGTAGGGCGGGGCCCCACACGCGGGAGGTGGCAGCTTCAAACCCAGCCCCTGCCAAAAACGGAAAAAAAAAATCACCCTGTACCTGTCTAGTCAAAACACTGGTATTGGCTTGGCACTTGTAGCTCAGTGGCAGGTGCCAGCCACATATACCAGAGCTGGAAGGTTCGAAACTGGCCTGGGCCTGCCAAACAACAATGACAACTACAATCAAAAAATAGCTGGGCATCGTGGCAGGCACCTATAGTCCAGTTACTTGGGAGGCTGAGGCAGGAGAATCGCTTAAGCCCCAGCAGATCTCAGTTGAGTCTGGGGTTCTGTAGTTATCAGCTGTGCAAATCCAGCAAGTTTCCAACCTTTCTGGGCTAGAGTCATTACAGCTTTGAAATAAAAATATTACCCATCTTCTTGGGTTTGTGCTGGCAAGACACATAATGAGGGGTGGCACGATGACAGCTGTCAGCTATGAAATGAGAGGCAGCACCTCGTGGTGGCAAGGAGGGTCTGCAGACCTCTGCACCAGGGCCACACTCTCAGTGACCCCACGGGAAGGCTCTGTCCTCTTGAAGCTTCCGTGGCCTTATGGGACAACACCTGTCTGCAGTGACCACACAATCAAGGTATGTGGCACAGTGCTTGGGTCATGAGAGGACACAACCACAGGCCAGTGTCCTGACCTGCAGCCCCTAGCTCAATCTGTAAGTAAGATCTGGAAGTGTACATTTTAGGGAACGCAAATATGTCAGGGAGTAAGGATTTAAGTGCAGGTGTTAGTGAAGCTAAGGACGTGTCCCCTGCCATTACCTGAGTTTTAACCGCAATAATTAAGGTTTAATTGGTCTCATATGACCTACTTAGAAAGCAAATTAAAACCGGTCAAAAGTCTAGAAAAATACTATCCAAGAGAGATGAGAGAACTGTACACACTTGTTCAGGAAAGAAATGACAAATGGCAGAAATGTAGCATACTGGGCTCTTAACATGAAAAGAGAGATCAGTTAGGACGAGGGGTCGATTTTCGGTTTAAGAGGAATGATAGGCTCAGTGCTGTAGCACAGTGGTTATGGCGCCAGCCACATACAACGAGGGTGGCGGGTTCAACTCCAGCCCGGGCCAGCTATTCAACTGCCACAAAAAAATAGCTGGGTGTTGTGGCAGGCATCTATAGTCCCAGCTATTTGGGAGGCTGAGGCAAGAGAATCGCTTAAGCCCAAGAGTTGGAGGTTGCTGTGAGCTGTGATGCCACAGCACTCTACTAAGGGTGATATAGTGAGACTCTGTCTCAAAAAAAAAAAAAAAAAAAGAAAAAGAAAGATGAAGGATAATGTTATTTTCCCAAGGCCTAGCTGAGAAATCCAAAACACACAAAATCCTATTAAAAAGACTAAATCGAAACACACAAAATCATATCAAAAAGACTAAAATAACCCTTTTATCAAAGCTCCACGTTATGGGTTTCTTTGTTGAACTAGTGACTTATCTGTCTTGTTTCATTTTCTGTGGTTTCCTTTTTTCAGAACTGAAAAAGATATGAGGTGGTCATAGCTAAAATATAACACAGTTCCCACTCCTTAGCAGAACCGCCACACAAACACAACCCACAACCTAAAACAAACCATTCCACGCCTTGTTTTAAAGTAAGTGGTCCCTAACCTTTCTCATCATAGTCAAATGTTTAGTGTTTTAGCAACAAAGGCTTATGGCAACGAAAACTAACACAAAACCCTCCTCATGTTGATACTGGTGGCAAGAGAAACAACAGCGGGGATGCCTGGTTTACAGCCCTGTCTCGCAGACAGTTGGGGAGAAGGCTCTTTAGGTCAAGGACGCTCATCTGGAATATGCTGGCAAGAGGGAGAGGGTCTGGGCTAAGGACAGGGACAGTGATGAGCAAGGAGAAGGTGCGTGTCTGAGTGAGGACGTGTTTGGTCTCTGGGGTGGGAAGAAGCCGTCCTAAGCCTTTCAGACTTCTGAGTGGGAGTGTGGTCGTTTTCTTCATGGTGGGGGGTTAGGACAGAAGCCAGCAGCCTAGCTGTAGGACTGAGGGGTAGATGTGAACGAGACTGGGAGCCCTCGGCCCTGGGCTGCCTGAGACAGCTCTAAGTCAAGCCTGACCTTCTTAAACTGCATAGACTGTGAGTCATCATGTAGCCTGATTTCTGCTGCCCTGTCCTTGGGACTCACAGGACCCTTTAGTTAGATGATCTGTCTCATTTGGGTACCAAGAGATATGTGGTAGGAAGGTAGGAAATTACTCTTTCCCAGGACATGGGAACCCAATGCACTTGTGTCACAGCCAAGTGTTATGGGCAGAATTGAGTCCTCCAAAAGATAAGCTCAAGATCTAACCTTAGGCACCTGTGACAGGGACCTTATTTGGAAATAGGGTCTTGGCAGAGCAATCAAGTTAAGATGAGGTCCCCAGGGTGGACGTTGTGTGATCACAGGGGCAGACTGAGTGACGCAGCTGTGAGCCAGGCAACCTTAAGGATGGACAGCTGCCTGCAGAGGCTGGGAGGAGGCAAGGAAGGATTCCATCCAGCCCTGCTGACCCATTGACTCTGACCTCTAGCCTCTGGAGCTGCTTCAAACTTTCCATTGCTTTAAGCCACCCAGTTTGTGATACTGTGTACAGGCAGCCCTGGGAGAGGAATACACCAAGATTCCCTATCACATGATTCTAACTGTGCCAAGAGATACGTGTGAGGAAGGTAGGAAATTACTTTCACAATTATAGCAGATATTGGTTTTAATTCTGGAGAAAGAATAATGAGCTTACAAGGTTCCTTTCTTATGGCTAGAGATGATTTAAACAAATCGATATTCAGAGATGACACGATCTGACTTTCACTGGACTCAAGCCAAGGTCCACTGAAGTCCCGTGTCCTGACCACTAACTCATCCCCACACCCAGGAGCGGACTTAAGTCACAGGCAGTCATTAGGTAGGAATCTGTAGTAACTGGGAAGGAAATGACTTATCATATCACTTCTGTAATAAGTTATCAAGAAAACAAAGCAGAAAAAGGATCTGAACTAAGAAAAATAAACAAAAGAAAAGAAAGTCAAAAGACAGCAGTTTACCTGAATCAGGTCCTGAGAGTCTTTTCACTTAGAACAAGCCTTTAACTTGTTCTGTTTCCGTATCAAGATCTATATCATAAAAGCAGGGCCGAGTGGGCAGTCCTGGCATCGTGCTCATCTAAGGGAAAAAAACATTTTACATGTTAGAAGATGCTTACGGGGGTCGTATGGAACACTGCACCCCTCGGATGAAACCAATGAACCATTTAATTCAACACAACTTTGTGCGACTTCATGTGCTATATACACGTATCTCTTTAAATCTGCCACCTGCTATTTCAATTTTTGTTTAAGGAAATAGAATAGAAAAAAGCACACGTCAGCTTCCTGGAAGGTTAGAGCATTTACTTTTTCCTGTAGTCCCACAATACACTATAGCTGCATAAATGACTTTCCAAATCTTCTCTTCTAAATCAAATCTTTTTTTTTTTTTTTTTTTTTGAGACAGAGCCTCAAGCTGTTGCCCTGGGTAGAGTGCTGTGGCATCACAGCTCATAGCAACCTCCAACTCCTGGGCTCAAGCGAGTCTCCTGCCTCTGCTTCCCAAGTAGATGAGACTACAGGCACCTGCCACAACGCCCGGCTATTTTATTTTGGTTGCAGCCATCATTGTTGTTTGGCGGGCCCAGGCTGGATTTGAACCTGCCAGCTCAGGTGTATGTGGCTGGTGCCTTAGCCATCTGAGCCATAGGCGCTGAGCCTCTAAATCAAATCTTTATGCTGGACCCCAACAAAGTTAACTCCTCTAGTTGAAGGGGGCCTGTTTAGATGTTTAACACCCCCAGGCGTGGTAGGTGCACAGCAGGATGCATTTCTGTGAAACCAACAGTTCCTGGAGCACAGTTTGCAAGCTCCTGTTCCCCAGCACCCTGGCTGTGCTGAGAACCTGCTCTGTCCCCGGCACCGTGCTGAGGGCTTTATACACCTCACCCTCTCAGCAACCTATGAGGTAGGTACTTTAATTATTTCCATCTTACAAGGGGGGAAACAGAGGTTTAGAGAGGGCAAGTCAGTTGCCCGCAGTCAAATGCCTGTAATTTCAAATTACTGTATCCCAGCTACTGCCGCCACTACCCGGGCACTACTATTGTGCCCCTTGATGGGCATTTCACGGGTTTTACAGAAATAACCTCATTAAGTTCCCCAGCACTCTACAAGGTAGGTCCTGGTTTTAGGTCCTTTACAGGTGAGGACAGAAGACAGACCCAAAGCACACACTGTAGGACTCACGGCTGGTTAGTGGTGAGGACAGGATTAAAACCAGTTTTCCACTGCTTTGCTGGGCTGGGGTCTAGAGGAAGGATCTGCAAAACAAGCTCCTTGCCCACCTGTATAAAAACCTTCCACGTGCTGAGGGGAGAAGTGCTGGAGCCCCAGCCCGAGCTTCTCAGGCACTCCAACCCCACTGCTCTGGCTCTGGGCTGGGAGGCTCCCTGCTGACCTGCTTTCCCCCCAGGTTAGCACTTCCTACCATGCCTTAAGGGGGTGTGTTTCATACAAATGGAGGCCGCATTGCTGCAATCACCCAGGGAGTACCTGGCTCTGCAGGGCTGAAGCTGCGTCATGTAGGCCTTCTGCCTGTCCGGGCCGACCACCCCGCCTGCCCAGGCTGAGCACGTTACACGGGATGGGGTCGGGGCGCCTCATGCTATAAATAGCATTAGGGTTTGCTGGCTTCTTCCCGCCTGGCAAAAAGTTCCCAGCAGAAAAGAAACCCTCCCTAAGGCCCACAGCACTCAGCTCTGTCACTCTCCGCTGCCTTTCTATAGTGACTGGGGACTTCCTCTTCACCACCCTGTCCTCCCACCACAATGTAAAGACTTTTGAGACAGAGTCTCACTTTGTCACCCTCCATAGAGTGCCATGGCATCAGCTCATAGCATTCTCAAATTCCTGGACCGAAGTGATCTTTTTGACTCAGTCTCCACAGTAGCTGGGCCTATAGGCACACACCACAATGTCTGGCTATTTTTAGAGACAGGGTCTCACTCCTGCTCAGGCTGGTCTCCAACTCCTGAGCTCAAGCAATCCACCCGCCTCAGCCTCCCAGAGAACTAGGCTTACAGGCATGAGCCACGGCACCTGGGTCAGTGTAAAGACTCTTGCTACCCAGAGGAGTTTGTAGAGTGGTAGCACGGGCACTCGCCTAGGAGCTGGCTAGAAAGTGAGACCTCACCTGCGACCCGCTGGATCAGAATTGGTGGCTGCAGCCAATCCCCAGGGATTCACATGCACACTGCTGTTTGAAGAGTGCGGACCTCTGTTGGTCCTCACTAGCCCCCTCACCTGCCTGCAGCTCACCTCCCACTCTTCAACAGCAGTAGAGGAAAGACTGTTTAACATGCCCAGGTGTGGCAGGTGGGCAGCAAATCCTTGCACCTGCAGGCCTCATGGACCACCTCTTCTCTGCCTGGCTGGGCCCACTGCGAGTGGGAGCTGGAAGGTTGCGGGAACCATAGGACACTGTGATGGATGGTGGCTGCTCCTTGTCTTGCTAATTGCACAGGATTGCACTTTGGGTATATGATGGGCTGACATGGAATATAGACACCATTTATTACACGCCTAATGGGAAAATGCATCCTAGGTTCCACACGATGAACTACAACTCAACTTTCTGGACATCCTGTATTTGGACCTCTAGGTATGTGGATGGCCACAATGGCCTCCCCATGTTAAAGTTCCTAGCAGGAACCTTGCCTTCTGGTTATCACAGGGGCTGCATATAACTGAGGAGAGTAAACCACACTCACTGGTTTAGCACTGGGACAAACACAAGGGTCATTGGTGGGCACTGTTAACATATACATTTTTTGTTGTTGATCAGGCCCAGGCCAGGCTCCAACTCTCCGCTCCTGGTGTGCAGGGCCAGTGTGCTAACCACTGAGTGACAGCAGCCAGCTTGCGTTGTTTACATTTTTTCCCAGCTGTTATGGGTTATAACTCAGCCAGGTACTCTACAGCCATTTCCCTCACTAACTGCACTTTGAGATGGCGTTTGAAGGCATTTTACAAAGTTTCTATACCCTGTATGAAACTATTTTTTTTTTTTTTGAGACAGAGCCTCAAGCTGTCCCCCTGGGTAGAGTGCCGTGGCATCACAGCTCACAGCAACCTCCAACTCCTGGGCTCCAGCGAGTCTCCTGCCTCCACCTCCCAAGTAGCTAGGACCATAGGCGCCCGCCACAACACCCAGCTATTTTTTGTTTGCAGCTGTCATTGTTGTTTGGCAGGCCCAGGCTGGATTTGAACTCGCCACCTTAGGTGTATGTGGCTGGCGCCTTAGCCACTTGAGCCACAGTGGAACTATTGATTTGGAAAAAATAAGCATTTTATAGGTTAAGAGAAAGAAATAAATGATCGCATTTAGCCACAGTAATGCTGCCCCACCCCAGTGGTTCTCAATCTTCCTAATGCCTCCTAATGCCGTGACCCTTTAATACAGTTCCTCATGTTGTGGTGACCCTCTGTGAGAGAATTTGGATTCTCTCATAAAACCAGCAGCTTAAACTTGGCAAAACATTACATGCCAGAAAGTGTGAAATATCTTTCTTTTATTTTCAACTTTTTTTGAGAGAGAGTGTCTCATTTTCTTGTCCCAGGTAGAGTGCCATGGCATCATCATTAGCTCACAGCAAACTCAAACTCTTGAGCTCAAGCAATCCTTCCTCTGCTTCCTGAGTAGCTAGGATTACCAGCACCCACCACACCATTTGGCTCATTTTTTCTATTTTTAGTAGAGATGGTGTCTCATTCTTGCTCAGGCTGGTCTCAAACCCCTGAGCTCAAGCAATCCTCCTGTCTTGGCCTCCCAGAGTATTTTCAGCTTCTTTCTCTAAAATGTGATTAAAAACAAGTTCATCCAGAGACTCCCACGTTCCTTTCCAATGACGCAATAATCACTTCCAAGAAGTGCAGCTACTTATTCGGGGTAAGTAAGCCACAACAGACAAGAAAACACATAGACTCTGCAGACCCAAGAGACTCCCTGACCTGGGAATGAACGGCCATCTCTAATAAGTCTACTTTTTAAATAAAACTTCTCCTTTTGAGCAAACACAATGTGGAATTATGTTAACAAGACCTTATACATTCGCAGCAAATTCTCTCCCAGTACAAAACTGTTATCAAAGAACTGTAGCCCCCAGACAAGAGTCAATACAGCTCTACAGACAAAAAGAACCCAGACAGCCCTTGGGAGCTGACCTCTGGCCACACGCCTGAGGTCAGTGGGGATCTATGTTGACTTTATCTGTGTGCCCTCTGAAAAGGCCTCCTGCTTAAAATAACCAAGGAGCCACTAAATTGTACTTTCGGTCATGCTGCATTAATGGATTCTTTTTACAAAGGCTGAAAAACATGGGCTTTTGCCCTTCATGACCCTAATTTTAACTACAATGAAACTTCCAAATCTTTACTGTTTCGGGCTAAGCTTATTTTAGAGAAAGGATTAGCTCTATCAATAGCCTTTATGAAGATACATTAAAGACCAAATACAGAGAGCAGAGTCATGTATTTAAAAGTAGTCATTAAAAAATAAAAGGATATTCGTGGCATGAGTAGAAAAATCATTACAAATTCTATCTCATAAAATGACAGAATCATAATTTCTAACCATAATTTTCCTTCTTTCCTTCCTTTTTGAGAGATGGGGGGTGGGGTCTCATGGTGTCCAGTCTGGTCTCAAATGCCTAGATTCAAGTAGTCTCAGCTTCTGGAGTAGCTGAAACTAGTCCAGGTACATACTACCAAGCCTGGTAACAATACTTTTCTTAACCAAAATATTGTAATTACTTGTGTTGTGTTTGTGAAATAATTTTTTTTTCTGATTTCTCCTTAAATCCACTATCTTTTCCAACTGAATAAATCATCTAGTTTTATTTTGGTTCCGAAAAGAAATAGCATCTTTACACTTATCTATTTTGTTCCTACAGTTCATGATCTGAAGTGGGGGCGAGTCCTTCCACACACTTCTTCCTCCTCTACGAGGTGGGTGATGTGTTACCTTATTTTGAAAGTTTAAGAATAACTGGAAAGATTATAATGGTGAACTACATGGTGGTATCTGCTTCTTCCCTTCTCCTCCTTTGGCTGTGAGGAACAGACTCACTTACATCA